ATTTATTTTTTTAATTGATCAGATCCAATAAAATAGTTTTTTGATATGTTAATAAGAAACGCAAACAAAGACTGTTAAATCTATTAGATTTGAAAGAAAGTTTATATGAAACGTGCTATTAAAAATCTGCGTAATCAAATAAGACTATATATATATATTTATATATGTATATCCAATGAAAAAGTATACAAAAAAACAAAAACTAATTTAGTTAAATAAATATTTGTCTCTCGCACTCGCAACTAGAGGATTAAGTGGACTGTTTAGTAATCTTTGATAAAGCAGAAGAGAGGCAAATCAAACTACAAAAAATATTTGCAAACATAAAAACTTGTCAAAGGCATTAAATTCGTTTTTATCGTTAATAATAAACACGAGTTTTCGATTAAGTGGAGAAAAACACAAGTGAAAATGCCGACAGTAGAAAATATTCAAAAGAAAAGTGTATGTTTAATAAACCAAATTGGCAAGAGGAAAGTTCGTGTTTGAGTCGATGACAAATTGAGTTCCAGACGAGAAATACCCTTAGGTCCATTTGGACCTAGGCCTATAAATAATCTGCCCGGGTAGTGGCGAAAAAAAAAACCAAAAAGCTGGACTGACTCAACTAAAAAAAAAAAAAATAGATAAAATATATAAAATAACAACATAAAAATCATAGAAAATATTCAACAAACAAAAATTCGTAGACAGAAATTTATGCGCGTCGCTTTTGTTATGGAACAAATGAAAATTAAAACCATGCAGTAAATAAAATATATAAATAATAAATTGAGAGAAGAACGAAATCCTTTTGGTGTTTCTATGGAATGACAACGCGGCGTATGAGCGATGATGTGTAAAATATTACGCATCAACGCGTAGCCAAGTGGAATGGAATGGAATGAAAGGGGTGGGGGGAGCAAGGGGCGAGGAGCAAAGGGTGATGATGAAATCACGAAATCACTTGACAAAGACAGCACTTGGACAACAAATCAAAATAGACAGGCTGGCGAGAGCGTTTAGCACAGTTCTTGTGGCGGCTATTTAAAAATACATACATAAGGCAACTGAAACTAATTTCGGAATATATCAAGTAAAAACTGAGCAAAAAATAAAAGAAGAAGCAACAGCAAAAAAAAAAAAAAAATGCCAAAGAGTTACGGAAAAGACACTTTCTGTGTGAACGAGCGCCAAAAAGGCCATACCCCAGGCCAGGGCGTCCTTCTGCCCCTCCACCCCCATCCACCATCCCCCATCCCCGTCCCTTGTCCGCTTTACGGTTACCCTGGCTCTGGTATTCTTCTGCCTTCGTCGCTCAATAGAAAAATGCTTAGATGCGATTTTCACTCGCTGTGCACATAATGGAATGAAGAAAATTCCGTCTGTCGACAACAACAGCAACAACAACAACAACAACAAATCGCATGCTGGGCACCAAGCAGCTAGCAAAGATGTCGTAGTTGTCACTTTCGGGGCCTCCAATGAGTTGCAGTTTGCGATTCTCACACAGTTTGTATGTAATGCACGCC